TCAATTTTTCCCCTCATTTCTCTTTGGTCAAAGCATTTCTGAATGAATGCCAGGCTGTTACTATGTAAGGCCTGTTGTACTGGAGAGTTGGAGTCCCGTTCCTGGAATCATGACCGGCAACCCCAAAATAGTATGTTTTGTTGTTTTACAGGGAAAACAAGAGAGTATAGAAGCTTTCAGAACAAACAGAAATGCAGAGAGCCGAGGGACAAAGACTCTGCTGAACACACACACACACACACACACACACACACACACTCCTCAGGGAGTCATTCGATTGGCTGCAGATAGCTTTAATCTAGAAAGTTGAAAGAAATATTGATGCACTAACGTTGCTATTCTTGCTGGGCAAAACAATCAGCTTTGAATCAGAGGTTTAATGTAGGAGGCTAGAATTCAGGGTAAAGTGCCCTTTTCTCAACCAGAGTCCATTTCAGATTTTTACATGATGAATGGCGTCGAGGAGATGTAACTCGCAAGCCATGTATTGTGGCTTGCCAGGTTTTTGTCAACCTCCCTCCCACCCCCTTTTTTACAGTTCCAGACAGCTAAAAACAAAAACAAAAAAACCCACAGGAAGTTTGTCAAGCCCTGGTAGACTGTCATTCATGGTTAGTGGGTTGAATTCAGCTCGATGGATAAAAAGGCCTTTAAAAAAATGGACTAGGAAGTATATAAGGCCAGGAATAAAGTTTGCATCTGATGGCTTTCAGGCCTGAACTAGGGATAGGATGTCTCCTTACACATCACCCCCAGGAAAACAGTGGATGAAAGAGAAGCATATTTGCATAACATTTGCACATGCTCCTTTTTATTTATAGAAGCAAATTTAGAAATAATGACTGTAAAGTAACTGAAAATATAATACGACCATTAAAAGAGCCATGCTGAATTTAGCCAAAGGCCCATCTCGTCCAGCACCCTGTTCTCACAGTGGTCCATGGGGAATCTGCAAGCAATGTCTGAGTGCAACAGTGCTCTATTCACTTGTGATTCTCAACAACTGGTGGTGGCAGTGGCAATGATATTTTTCCCAAGAGCCTTTGGCTAGAATTGGCCATCCATCCCCCCTGGTGGCATAACGTGGAAGGGCATGGTGGCGGTTGCCTCGGGTGCAAAATTTGTTAGGGGCGCAAAATTTCAACAGCTGATTCTGCCTCGATACAAGCTACGCACTTAAATCCCTGGGCTCCGTTGAAAACAGCTTCTCCATGCAAATCAGTAAGCGACCTCTCCATAGAATGAAACAACTCTTCTTATCTCTATGGCTGCGATCTCCTGGGTGACGTTGAATGTGCATGCGTACTCTGTTTCCCTCCCTCCCATGGCCCCGGGCACTGGCAATACATGCTACGCCACTGCCTCCCCGCCCTGGTTAAAGTCCCCTGAAACAATGGTACATTATGATGTAGCATAATTCCCAGGCCAACTGGTGGGAAGGAGGGATGGCAGCAATCAGTCAGTATATGCTGCCACTGCTATATCTTCTCCCTCCATTTTAATCCCTTGGAAACACTGACAAAATACCAGCCCCCAACTTTCATGAATGGAAAGGGACGCATTTTAGCTTTTCCCAAGTAGTTAAACACTTGCTTGGAAGCAAGTCCTACTAAATGCAGTGTGACTCTTACAACAGACCCACACCAAACATTTAAAACACATCCAATGCACATTCAAAACACATTACTTCCCCCAGCTGTGGTTTTCCCCTCACAGAGCTATATATTGCCAGTACCCTTAACAAAATAAAGTTCCCAGGATTCTTTTTTGGGAGTGCTTTAAATGTACATTGGATGTGCTTTAAATGTGGATCCGCCCTTACTTCTGAGTGAACTTATATAACACGACTGGTGTGTTGAAAGAGGAAAGGATTAACTCAGTTCCTTGAACTACAGTTCCTGGAATTCCTGGATTAAGAACCATGACAGAGTTAAAACATACTTACGCTTTTAGCGTAGAGAGATCCTATTTCAGTTTCAATTCCACAATATAAGATCAAGCAATATTTGTGTCTACTATTCCAAGTAAATAACAACAACAACAATGAAGACTGATGGTGGTAGTCTACGAGCACTCCAATTGGAGAACAGCCTTTACCAAAGGTTTCATGAACTTTGAAGACACTCAAACTCAGGACGAAAGGGAGGAAAGAGCTAAGAAGAAGGCACGTTTGGCAAACCCTCACCGTGATCAACTCCCACCCGGAAACCTATATCCCCACTGTGAAAGGACGTGTGGATCCAGAATTGGCCTCCACAGCCACCTATGGACACACTACTAAGACCATGTTCATGGAAGACAATCTTACTTGGCTACGAGTAATTGCCAAAGAAAGAAGAAAGAAAGGCCACACTTGGTTGAATTAACCAATAGTAGACCCTGTATAAGGGGACATCTTATGTACAGTGCTCTTGAACAAAAATGTATGGTGGCTTCAGTTAATGGCAGGGATGGGAAACATGTTTTGGGGTGTTGATGGACCCTCATAGTCTTTGACCACTGCTCATTATGACCGGGACTGATGGGAGTCAGAATACGACAGAACCCAGAGGACTATGCATTCTCCAGCCATAATCTATGGCAAACAGGTCATGTAAAAGAGTGCACCATGCAGTTAATTCCATGTATATCAACTTTTAATACTCAAATCACAACTGGCATTGGGTTTCACATGGCTATCTGTGGAGTTTGCATAAGCTAAGCCTTTTCTATGACCATCAAGTGCTAAGCGATCATGTGACTAGGCCCTGAGCTGAGAGTTATGAGAGCATGGAGAAAAGCCTGATCTTTAATAAGGTGTGTGAATTTTTGGGGGGGAATGCTTTTTATATTGAGCAATGATCTCATAAAGATTTTTTCTTCAACCACACAAAACGAAGGTCGGTGTCCAATTTGGACCAATCTTTGCTTCCATATGCCAATCAGATCTTAGGAAGAGCCAATTCAATGGCTAAGAAAATCTTACTTGGCCTCCGTAAATACATTTTTGATATTTCATTAATGACATACTAGAATGCACATCAGAGAAACGAGCAGGACAATTAACACTGTTAGATTATTTAATTACCACATTCTGTGCAAGGCTCTGATCTTTAAGTCTCCCAGCAGGGTCTTAACCATGCTTACTCATCCTTGTAATTTCAATAAGTCTTAATTCCAATAAAGTGTCCTTAGTGTTGCAACCATTGCCTCTGTTCAGCATTTTTCTCACCCTCCCTCATTATTTCCACCAGGTTTACCAAACGCCTGAAAAAGAATACTTACACTAACACTTAGATCAAGCCATGAATCTTGCAGTACTGGATCACCCTATATATCTGAGAGGCCTTGATTGGCCCAGGCTCTCTTTACTGGTCCAGAACTCTTAATAAACTTTCTGTTTCATGCCAGGCCTTGTTCGGAGCCATTTGGGGATGTGCTGGGTTTGTTACACAATGGAGGTTGCATTTTTTTACTGCTTCTTGCATGTTTCTCCTACCCAGAGGCTCTCATCAATCCTTGCTACATTCCAACAGCCTGTTTTGATCTGGGTGAGACCAGCATCTTCCTGCAGGATCAGCACCTCTGTGGAGGGAATCGGTCAAGAAGGTGAAGATATAATATAATTGAGAAGCCAATCTAGTTTCATTTCCATGCAGAAAAACAGTCCAAGCAGGCAGGGTGGAGAAGGGAGTGGAACTGGCAGGACCAGGAAGCATGGCAGGAACAGGCTGAAATCCTGAGCCTGTGATCTCATCCAGGAGATAAGCAGAAGGAGAGAGATAAGAATAGAGGACACAGTGCCCAGTTATGTAGACTAGTGGCAGGTTGCAGGAGGCACAGAGATAGTGAACAGGAAGATTGCTCTATTTTGATGGAGTGGTTGTTCAAGAAAAGAAGTGGTAGACAAGGTCTTCATTGAAATCTCCTGCAGCCATCACCCTATTTCACCTCTTGCTTGATGACCATCATCTCTTGTGGGGGCCCAGACCTCATGTGACTAGAACTGAGTCAAATCTCCTTCAGTGTCTTTTCTGACTCCGCCTTGTCCTGAACTTTGGATGGATAGTTCATTTCTTTGATTTCGAGTCACACACATGCCCTTGGGACAACATGTCCTTTGCTCCTTTCTGTTCCTCTTTTGAAACGATTCTTTCCACAAGTAGCTTTCTGTCAATAATTCCCACCAGCTACTTCCTCTCCCAGCCGTGCTATCAGAGGGAAGAGAACCAAACAAATATTTACCATGTATACGGGGAGAAAAGGCACAGCTCTTTTCACTTTCTCCTTGCTGTCATCTATTCCCCTCCCACCCAATGATAGGTCAATGGCTATTTGTGATTCGTTAAGTCCACAGGGCCAGGCTGTGTCTTTTGCCTACAAAGTGCAATACATCTATAGCTAGATTTTCTTATAGATTTGATACAGCTGTATGGGTTGGGAGCTGTGAGTATTCAAACTGGCTGGGCCTTAAACTGACAGAGGGAAAAGAATTATTATTATTATTATTATTATTATTATTATTAAAATTTGTATACCACCCTATACCCACAGGTCTCAGGGTGGTTGTCAACATAAAATCACAATATAAAAACATAAAATACATAATAAAAACAAGAACAAGAACAATCCAATAATCCCCAACTCCCCAACATATTTAAGAGGGCATTGAATATCAATCATCCAAAGGCCTGGTTGAAGAGTAATGTTTCTGCCTGGCTCAAGTCAAACTTCCTTGAGGAGAGCATTCCACAAATGGGGAGTCACTGCAGAAAAGGCCCGTTCTTCTGTTACCACCCTCTGGACCTCTCATGGAGGAAACACATGAAGAAGGGCCTCAGAGGATGACCTCAGGGTTCAAGTAGGTTCATATGGAAAGAGACGGTCCTTGAGGTATAGCAGTCCTGAGCCATTTAAGGAATCTCAGCATTACAAGAGATGCATGGCTCATGCTAAAAACAGTTATCCATGTTTCCTCCTCCTATAGCTGCTAGTAATATCTAGGCCAGAGGTGAGAGTTAGAAGATTGCTGTTTCCCTCACAGAGCTACAATTCCCCATGTCCCTCAGAAGAGGGACGGATTGTTAAACCGCTGTGGGAATTGTGGCTCTTTGAGGGAAACAGGAGAGTTAACTGTTAAGAAACCACAGCTCCCAGAATGCTTTGGCCATGCTCTCATAGTGATTTAAATGTATAATACAGACATTGCCTGTGACTCTCCAGATGCTGTCAGAGTAGAATTTCTTGACCGTTTGTGACCATTGGCCATGTTGGCTGGGACGGATAGTAGCTGGGGAGCACACCAACTTCTAGAGGACCCCAAGTTCCCCATCCCTGCTACGGATACTAATGGGGAATTTCCAAATGCCAGATGAAACTCTGGGCATGCCAGGGCTGACGGCTCTCCTCCCCACTATCTTTCACATAATGTTAGGATTTAAATTAAGCCATTAAGCTTCATAGGCTCTCTGTTTTAGCAATGTAATTCCCTCCTTGCTGTAAAGTGAAGCAGAGACAAGAGCTTTCAGGACCTCAGGGGCAATTGTAACATGAGTATCCTACATAACACGGGATTTAAGTCTCTATGGATTACTTACCAGTCCTGAAATAGTTTGAGGAAACAAGAAACAAATCATGTGCACTATGCGCTGACAGATGTTTTTCCATGCCAATATGGGGATGTGGGGGGAGAACAGCCTCAACAGTATGCAGCCTCCTACAGACTTATCGAAGGAGTAACATTGAATATGCCTAAACACTGTTAATGGAATTGCCTTTTTCAGCTCAAAATGTGTTCATTACGAGATGGTCTCTGTCATGCAGCTACATCATCACATGGTTCAGTTCCGCAATAACTGGGCAAAGTTGCACTTCTTCATTTGATTGATTGTGAATCCTGCCCTTCCTCCCAGCTGAGCCCAGGATGAATCAGAACAGTCACGCAATATAAAACATAGTAAAAACTGTGATTAGCTATACAATCTAGATTGTCAATAATAAAACATAAAACAGCTAGCAATGCAGAATTGACCGCTACATTCCAGACCAGCTATGTTCCAAAGACTACAACGTCTATCAACCCTAACCACTGACTATGCCATCTGGGGATGATGGGAGTTGTAGTCCAATGACACCCAAAGTTCTCCGCTGTATCATAACGCAGGATGGTGCCATGTGGATGGGAGCAGACTTTGTTCTTGGTCGTGGGGTCCACATCTCAACGGTGCCCCACAATGCACCATTTTGTTTTCTCCTGTATAAGCAAATGTGGAATATTTATTCCTAGTGGAAAAGCAAAGCACTGAATTTTGGGACAATGTGAAAGCAAGGGCTAAATCTACCAGTTACCCCTCGCAGTGGATGACTCAGCTTTCACTGTCAAGAATGCTACAGATGGATTCAAAGTGAAACAGGGACCTTGGTAATAGAGAACTCCAACTTACACACACACCCATGACGGTGCCCTGGTTCACTATGCTTTTCAAACTTAACTCTTCTAAATAAGATTTTATTACTTCCTAAACAGGCTTGTGGGATCAGCAGTGTTGGAGGAAGAAGGGTGTGTGGCATCTAAATGTGCGAATTACATCAGTCGCTCACATGCAAACCAGCACATAGTGCACTTTGATGCTCTTTCACTGGAAAACAACTTGCCTGTTCTTAGAACTCATTCTCGAATCCTTAGAGAAACGAGCACTAATCTCAGATGGCTTAATCCCTAACATTTAATAGAGCTAATGCAGTAGCTAAGCGACTGAACTCTGAACCAGGAAGTCAAGGAGTGAGATCTCTCCTGAATCAAGAATGCATTTGTTGTCCTTGGGAAAGCTTCTATCTCATAGTCCTCTCCACCTCCCTATCATCAGCAATGTGCTGACCTACTTTACAGGGTTGTTGAGATAATGGGCTTGAACGAGAAGCACTTTGAACCCTCTGTAAATGAATATGTTTGTTTGGAAGGCTGTGCCTTCAGTGCTGTGATGAGGTGCTTACTCTTGCAGTCCTTGACTTGTTGCCTGTATGGCAAGCATCGCCTTAATTTGAATCGTAGATAGAATTCCTCCTGGATGAACAACTCCACCCCCTCTAAACTTAACATCCAGTTAATAAATGCTGCATATCAGGTGGTCTTCTGCATGTTTGTTGCAGTCTTACTCCCATTAGCTCAAGGCAGCATGGCCAATAGTTATGGATTATAGAAGCTGGAGTCTAATAGCATCTGGGGAGCCACTGGTTTTCCACTCCTGCTGTAGATTAAGCAGTGGCCTCAGGCTTTGATCCTGAGATTCAGGTTTGAGAGTCCATACTCAGGATCACTGCTGTAACTGCACACTTGATGGGTGTCTCCAAGTGCACAGCTATGCTAGACTAATCTATGGTATCCATTCTACATGCCAGTTGCATATGCAACAGTTATATAAATAAGCAGTGCACAGGAGCAGTTGATTGCCCTGGCCTCCTTATAACTAACTTGCTGGGTACAGTAGTCTGTAGAGCCTCATGAAGTCTTGTTTTCTACACACAGAGAGAGTGGGATGTGACCTGGTTTGCTTTCAATTTTGGAGGGGGCTCTACATTTCTATCTTCATTCTTTAACTGCTGGGCTTTGTCCCTTTATTGCTCAATAATACTCCTGTCCTGATCCACTGTGTTGCCCGAAGCTCTGGAATACATATGAAACTATGTATTCATAGTATTCACCTTGGACAAGGAACAACATGGTGGTTCAATGGGTTCAGGACCATGGTTAGCAGTCCTGCAGCTGAGACAGAAAGCAAGTTGTCTCAGCACCACCCTGGAGCAAGTAGCAGAATTTTACAGGGTGCAATGAGATGTGGGGGATGTTGTGTTAGTTTCCCTGATTATGATGCTAGTAGAATCATAGAACTGTAGAGTTGGAAGGGACCCTGAGGATCATCTAGCCCAATGCAGAAATACGAAGCTGTCTCATATGGGGGTCGAACCTGCAACCTTGACATTATCAGCACCACACTCTAACCTACTGAGCTGTCCTATCTTCTTATGCCGCTTTCACACCGCAGTTCCTGTTGTGTCGTGGAACGGTGGCTTTTTGACCAATATACTGGCATGTTTCACAAATTTTCATTCACACCACTAGGCCTTGTATGACACAACAACAAACACCATTGGATGATGTCGCTACTCCACCATCATTTTTGCACATGTGCCCGTGCTTCACTGATGAAAATGGCAGAAAAGAACTCTATGCCGGCATACCACCCCAAATTTCATAACGTTACACAATTTTCTGGGTTAATGGGGTTGCAAACAGATCATTTCTGGAGCCAATTAACATGGAAGTGAGTGCTAAGAGCCCACTATATCTCCATAATTGGCTTTTATGTCATGACTGTAGCACCTGGCAAGTTAAAGAGCCAGTGTCCTTTTCTGCAGCCACTGGCTCCTTCTAGACTTCTTTTGGGGAAGCTCCTCAAGTTTCTGAAGCCACACTGTGTATTTTGTTCAGGGTGTTGTTGTTGTTGTTGTTTTTCCTTTCAAGAGTAGGCAGACCTTGCCTTGTCACCACCAAGTCTCACCTTGTGATATCATCAAGCCCTGCCTTTTTTGGGATTCTGTAGACCTAGTAACTCTGTGTGTGCATAGGCAAATGAAGATGATGGGAAGAACTCATGCAATTACTGAATTATTGAGATGTTGCTAATTATATAATATTTGTCTGTGTTGATTACTCATCCCCATTATGAGCATCTCCTCTTGCCCATTGACAATCCAGGCTGGTTGTTGGTAATATACGTAGCTCATCCCTGAGTTTAGTAACCCTCCTGGGAAGTCCAGCTAGGCTTTGCATATTTTGAGAGGCCTGTATTTCTGGAGGCAAATGAGCTTCAGGTATGTCACACAAGACCAGTTTATGATATGAAAACAAAGGTGATGTCTTCATCTTAATTTCTATTAGAAAGAGGAGCTTTTGAAAGAAATACAGTGGTACCTCGGGTTACATATGCTTCAGTTTACATACGCTTCAGGTTACAGACTCCGCTAACCCAGAAATAGTACTTTGGGTTAAGAACTTTGCTTCAGGATGAGAACAGAAATCGTGTTCTGGCAGCGCAGCAGCAGCAGGATGCCCCATCAGCTAAAGTGGTGCTTCAGGTTAAGAACAGTTTCAGGTTAAGAACGGACCTCCGGAATGAATTAAGTACTTAACCTGAGGTACCACTGTAAAAATAAAAACCAAACATGCATATACAAAGGAAATAAAATAATACATGAACATCACAAGGCTGAAATGAAATCATGAGAACTGCCCAGATACCAAACAAGTAGAACTCAACAGAGCCCTGTTGACTTTGGATTGGTGCCCATTTATGTTCAATATTCTAATGTGACTTCAGAGTTCCTTGTATAGACATCCTGTCTGCACTCGAAATACTGCTTAACCCACTGTTAAATAAACTTCTGGAATCTGATTGCATTAACCTAGAGATGCTGGGAAGGATTACCATGTAGGCAATCTCCATGACTAGATGAGGGCTCATGTATTTATGCTTACACAGGCACAGTGTAACTAGCAATACTGTTTGAGCATAGATGCCCATTTCCATGCAAAAATCATGCAACAGACTAGGCTGACTATATAAATGAGCACGATCTAGTGTAGGCCCACAGCATCCCTGGGCAGCTCACAGGAGCTAGAGAGGTTGCTGAGAGGAGACTCTCTCACAAAGCCACAATTCCCGGCACCCTTAACAAACTGCAGTTCCCAAGATTATTTTGGTGGGGGGATCCACAGCTGTTAAAGTGGTATAAATGTATGTTAAACGCATGGTGCAGCTGTGATATTATTGTCCACATTAATGTCACATTATTCAGGTTATCGTACATTTAAAGAGTAATATGGATTCCAAAGTTATATTGACTGTGTGCGTGGCCCATGTTCTTCCCGACTTCTCTGTAAGTTGTAAAGTGTTTCATTTGAAAAACAGCGAGAGCACATGATATTTGAAACCTTTGCCTGTTATTTAGCCATGATTAGGTATCTCTCTACACATAAAGCATTTCATGGTTTCATTTGAATTATCTCTTCCCCTTGACTGTTTGTTCCTGTGCTGATTCATAAAAATTGCAAACAGGAACAAATATGATAAG